GCCATACTAGGGTCACTGAAACCATTGAAAAATATACCTCTGTCCTCTGCAACTTTTGGAACCCAGATGGTAGTGGATATGCATTCATTGATAATAGTGAGAAAGCTTTGGGTTTATCTTTTGTGGTCTTGTCAAAAACTTGGGAGGGCTTCAATTTCACAACTGCGGAGAGCCTGAATCAATGTGTGTTGTGGTTGCGCTGTACTGGGAGGGGGACTTTATCGTCCACATACTATACAGAGGACTTCTTTCCCAAGCAGATAATTCCTGGTTTCAAGTCAACTTTCTCTGTGCCTCTCCGAGATTCTCTTATGCATGGTGCAACAATGGCTCGGGAAAGCACGGTGCCTGGTTCAGGTGGCTCGGAGGAGGCTTCACCCGAGAGAAATGCAGTCTTGGACAGCATCGCCCAGATTCTGGAAGACATGGCAGGCAAAATACCAATATCTGAACATTCAGAAGAACACAACTCGGATTACTGGTATGGATTGCGAGTCCAGTTTGAAGAAGAGATCAGCACATTGGAAAAATCGATACAAAAGATGTCCGTTGCAGTGTAATTAACCGCAGTAGTATAGCTCTCATGTATGTCTGGAGTTGGAATGTTACGTATTTCATGTTCTGAGGAAGAATAAAAACAGCGATCAGAAATGGGGAGCTTTAAGTCCCTTGAATAGGGTTCAGCATTGCCCCAGAACACCAGGTTCTAGGAGAGAAAGCAAAAACAAAACACAAAGAATTTGAAAGTATGTTCCCCTTCCTCCCTCACAGGGGTTAATATCATTATGTGTTTGGGTCACTAATAATAATAATAACCTTCTAAGATCATGTCGTGTGGGGGGGAAATCAAATCTCGGAACGTACACGCGAGATATATACATGTCTTCGATGTCACAACTGCGTCCCAATATTAATGATAGAACAGCTCTGATCTGGAGTCGGTGCACTTCCGCCTGGTGTAGAAGCAAGACCTGCGGGAGGGAAAGCAGGTCGTGCAAAAGAGATCTCCTTGGAACCTACCGTATAAAGATACTTTCAATTTTATTATCCAGTTCACCCGAGCCGATGAATTGATGATTGAACTCCCTAAGCCATCATGATGTGAGAGGGAAGTACGCCCGAGCACGTCCATGGACGGGGTGAGATGTTTTCGACGTCACCAAAGCGTTTGATAAATGTCACGGACGATTAAACCATCGGTGCCTCAGAAATGAATTGGTACGGAAATGGTTGAACACGACGCGAGTAAAGATGTGCCGGTCTCCGATGTGGAGTCGGCCAGACTTGTGAGTGGTATACTTGGAAAGGCTCGCGGAAGCAACGGCCTGATCCAGATCGTACATGAGGCGACACTCCGGGATTTACTTAACACAGGATTTGTATCTCCGAACTAGAGCAATTTTATTGAGTCCGGAACATTGGATCGAGTAAGCACAGTTCACCCCTTGGATTCCTAATCAGCGGATAACTAGACGGGCTCCACTGAACACTAAGCGAAATGAAATGACTATCTCATATTGGGAGTTGGATTGGATAAATTACCTCGTTGTAAGGACCGTGAGCACTGTACCGCTGCCACGAGTATTCAGCGCGTCTTACCTCGTGTCCTGCCTTGTAACGGGAGGATTCCACGCTTGAACCGCGATATAAGTGCGGGTTCATATATACATAGCGTAAATTGAGTCGAATAAACGCGCGATGCATGCAACATGAATGGATTCTCAAGGAACGCGCAGTAAACTGACTTGTGCAATGAATACTGGCAGCGAACAACAAAAAAGGTTACAAAACCAATGATCTCACCTTACCGTAAGTACTCGATTCGTCCGCACCCGGATCCAGCGGTAAGCTGAGTTAATCGAGGAGGGCAACGGATACTCATACATCGTCGCGTAGATCTGCGCGGAATACTCTCGCATCTCGATAATGATAACGAGTCAATATTGAACTCGAACACCATTATCCAGATTTGTAAATCATTCCGCCCCGTTCGACGCCGTAATTCCAGTGTTGGTGGCAATAAAATCGATAACTTTGAGACCGCAAACCGCAAATCGCAGTAGTGAACGGAGCGTACAGCTTCAGTCATGAAGGCGTGGGTGCTGAAGACGTATTTAAGACGGAGGGAACAGAGTTCAACATCGGATAAATTCAAAATTCTAATGTTATGATATACACGTATGATTAGCCATTGGTAACGTTGCATTCAAGAAAGACCTAAGCCTAGCCTGGAGGAAGGAAGAACGCAAAGGCCCCAAGCAGGGAGGAAACAAAAGGCTTCGAGAAAGGAGGGAGCCAAAGGCGAATTAGGGACGCCAGTCAACATGCAGGAAAGATGCAGCCCCATGCCAAGAAAAAGATTGCGCCGTCCAAAAGACAGATCGAGGAATGTCACATTGCGCGGGGAAACAATGAGGATATATGAAGCGGAAAAAACAGTGCGTCCAGAATGCGGAAGCAACAGGCATGCGGCGCGCAAGATGGAGATGGGAAGAAATCACAGAGCAGAGGAAGCGACCACTACAAAGTCGGTGCATGCGCAGCGACCCGTATAAAAGAAGGAGAGCGGCTCCTGGGCTTGTGATCCGCACGAAAGGCAAGGACGAATGGGTCAAATAGGAGACAAGAGATGAAAAAGAAAGCTAGAACGAGAGCACCAAGCACGAGGAGGCGCAGACGGATCCAACGCAGGCGAACCCGTCGTGCGACTCGAAAATGGACAGATTACCACGGGGGGAAAGGAGAGCAGGCCGAAAGTGAGAAAGTGGGTCGTCGATGCCCGCTTCAAAGATGAAGAAAAAGACAGAGGGTCGGGCGACGAAAGATGCGCACGGGCACCACGAGATACACGTAAGACATCGCAGCGAGGAATATCCCGGCAGGAGGGCGATGAAAGGCGGCACAAAGGAAGAGAAAAGACAAGGAAAGAGCAGAAAAGAGAGACAGGAAGCAGGGGAATGAGGGAAGACGAAAAAGAGGGCGTGAAGACGAGAAGGAGGGAGGGTAGAAAGAAGACACATAAAAGTGAGGGTATAGAGAAGAAACACTCACCCGCCTCCGCGCGCCACCGTTCATACCACGCCCAGCTCAACAACCCCCTCACCTCTCTCCCACCCTCGACAGCCCCCACCGCAAACAGATCCCCGGCTCATGCGCCACCGCAAACCGCGCCTCCGCCCACCGCTCCTCCGTTTGCTGACTGCCGTTGCGTGAGGAGGAGTTGGAGTTGGAGTGTGGCGAGGAATGCGTGCGACGGCCGGACGACGGACGTCCAATGCGAGGGCGGAGAAGACGAAGGGCGTAGCGACGCCCGCGCACTCGAGCTCAGCGCACGCGCGCGCGACCAGGCGGGCGGCAGCCGGCAGCTCCAGCACGGCGTCCCACGCGGGCGAGAGGAGCCCGTACGCTAGCAAGGGTGTCTGTCCCCCTGTCCTGATCCTGGTGTCTGAGCGGTGGGGATGTTATTACCCGAGGTGGCGAATGGCACGGCGTTGTCCGCGGCAGCGTCGTAGGGAGGAATCCGACGGCGCCGTAGAACGAGTCGGCGGGCAGGCTGTGGGTGCGCGCGCGCATCGGCCTGAATTCATCGGAGACGGGGCTTGCAGGGAAGGGGGTCGGTGAGTGCTGTGGCGAGCTTTGGTTTGTGCTTGGACGGCGTCGACGCCGTCCGCGCGCCAGAAAAGCGATGGCATCCCGAGCCTCCTCTCAGATTCCTAGTCCTTCTTCAAGTTTTTCTCCTAGAACTCCTCCTTTTGAAGTGGCGTAATTCGACCTGCGCCTTGTGTTATGCTCGCTGTCCAATGGCGGGGACGGCTACAAGGACGGCGGGATTCGTGTGGACGGTGGAAGGAGAGTGTTACGTAATCGATCAAATTGCATGGGAGTCATTTTGATGGGCGGCGATCCCCGCCGCCCTTCGATCTGTCTTCTCCTTCCATACCGCGTCCCTTTCTTCCCTGCCGTTCCTTCCTTTCCCGACTCAACCAGCAAGCCGTCCTTCAAGTTCTGAATTCATCCTGGATTCTTACCATCGGATTCGTCTGAAATTGCCGAGCATGGGCTCCGCATAGTATTGTTGGCAACCGCGTGTTTGAGTGGAAACCACAATAATCCTGAGAAACACAATCGACGCAAAGCTCTCAAACGCGCAGATAGCCAGTGGGTAGGGGCTCGCGGAATCCCATGTCTATCCATCGTAAACAGCGCCACCGTCAACTTGCGCCGCCGATCACGATACGTTCTCACTCGGTGCTACTAGTAGACGGCGCGGTGAGCACTGCGGACAGATCATAATACTTGGCTTCACAACAGCATCCATATGCGGCCCGCTCTGCGATGGATTCCATGGGACTTACCGGCTGCACTGTAAGGCCGCTGTGCTGTGCTTCCTTGCTTTTGTCTGCATCCTGTCTCCTGTCAACACGTCGTCCTCAGCTGGCCTCAACTCTAAATCATTCTCAACATCACGCATACGATTCCGCACCCTCCAATTCACCGCACTTATTCAAGCTCCACTTGTCAGTAACACAACCTAGTGGCGAACGAACCCCACCCACTTTCGATCGCTGTGTTCCAAAGTTCTCTATATGGTGGGACGTCCTGGTTCGACTCCAGGCTGGGTCTTCGCCAATGTACAGGCAAGTTTTTTTCGTTGCCTTCTTCAGCTAGTGCCTCCTCGAATACCAGATGAAGTGGCCGATAAGACCCTACCTCTCCGCCCAACCACTTGCTTTTTCGCAGCATACACATGCGGCCCGCGCCGCGATGGATTCCATGAGACTTCCCGTCTGCGCTCCAAGGCCCTCGTGCATGCTTCCATGTTGTCCATCCGGTCTCTCATGTTCACATTTCCCCCGCAAATTCTGACCTGAATCGCCTCCATGCATTCCAGCCCATGTACGCTACCTTGGCCACCGAGTCAACACCCATGTTAACCATCGCGCGTACCATTCCTCCCCCTAACTCACCGCACTGATTCAACGTCCACTTCTTAGGGATACGACCTAGTAGCGGAGGGCCCGCGCCTGCTTCACATAGGTCCTCTCAATATGTTACAGGACAGGAGTCCCTGGTTCGACTCCAGGCTAGGTCATCCAACAGGTGGTTCCATTTTTTTTCTTTCCCTTCTGAAACTAGCGCTTCCTCAAATCCAATATGCGGTGACAGATAAGACCCTACATCTCTACAAACCATTTTTTTTTGCTTCACAGTATACATATGCGACCCGCGCCGCGATGGATTCCGTGGCATTTCGCGCGCCCACTCGAGCTCTGAGGCCGTCGTGGTGGTTCTTGTTTTTCTTTCTATCTTCCACCCCGAATCTCACATCCCTCTGCCTCCATTTTACGGGGCGACTTCCACTGTACTCGTTCTCGATGCTAATTCTGTGTTTACATCATGCCCCGCGTACGTGGGATCGTTCGCCCCGCAATTTACCTCACTTACGCGCGCGAGCGCAGCAGCGAAATCCTGCACCTGCGGAACCTTCTGCCTGCATTGTGCTACATCTGTCTCCCCAACGGTCGCACTCTGTCGCCTTTAAGATTCTTCGGGGAGGAAAACACGTCCTATTTCGCTCCGCACATGATCACACAATCCTCGGATGCTGGCGGGTGGACGATGATTCGTTGCTCGGTACCTATCAAAGCACAATACCTTCTTCCATAAACGTAGTTTTGAAGCCCAAGTACTCCACGGCGGTGAGCGGGCGAATATTGTGGTGCGACTCCGTGATTCGCAGAACGTGTATGCGATCCAGCCGCTATTTAATTTATGTCCTGATATTGTTTTATTTTCTTCGTTGTCTTCTAGTGGTTTCATGGAGGTCATCAGCTGGGAATTTTGGGACTGGAATGACAGATCTGCTTTAAGTGACTCAGTACACAGACTCGGGTTTTAAGCCCGATTCTTTGCCCAGTATCTGTGGTGGCATGGCTCTTGTACGACCGGACCGGCAGTTAGCCAGGCCAGACGCCCCAGAAGTCTATGAAATCATTGATTGCCGCGCACAAAGACATTGCAAAATCCTCTGGCACTCTCATATCGTGCGTCCGCTCCGTCCCGGGTGGGTCTTTCATACTCAATCTTTTCAACCAGCGAATTTCGCCATGGAACTCCAGGCTACTTGATTTTCACTGCAACCCACCCCCCAGATAAGATCCCGCATATCAGGATCTGTTCCATCGCCTCCCTATCCGAGTCATGGACACCTCTGGGAGATCACAATACGGCTCGTCCCACGCGAGTGTCGAACATCCCTCATGTTGCATTGACTACGATCGAGGTCAAAGGCACAACGCGTCGTACTACAGAAATCACAGTACTCGAAACTCCGCTTCAGCGCGATACGTACCGGGTGTGGCTCTACATCCCACAATGTGCCTCCAAAAATTATGATCTGCTGTGCGGGTTTGGCTTGTCCCTCCCTGCGCAGGTGGATTCTCCTGGTAGAAACACCGCTGCACTCCAGTGGAACCACCAATTTTGCGCATGCGCAGAGTCTCGTACTCTGGCCACACCCCGGAGGCATGTAGAAGATTTGACTTACTTCAACGAATTTTTGGGCCACACATACCTCCTGCGAGTATCAACGTTGCAGCTGAATTAATGGTGCCTGACTGGGGATATGTTGCGCCGTACAGTGGCGCGCTGCCATACTTCACAGGCCCTGACCTAAACACACTGATCCTATGTTACTCTGAATAAACCTCTTGTTTCTAATGCCATCGGGACTTTGTCAGTCAGCGGGTGCATAGTTTTCGGAGTGCATAACCACTCAGCACGATGGGCGTCCGGAGTTCCCTGTTCCACGCCAGCAATGGTGCCAATCTCATTGATTGGTGGACCCGCGTTGAATATGATTTATCCCGATGCGCATAATAGCTAACTGATGCTCGATACTTTTATTTGTGGCTGGAACTTCAGACAGCCGATGCTTCACATCCGTCATACGCGATGGGTTTTTTTTTTTTTGCATCTGCGCTCCTGTTCTCTCCGGACAATTAATCACTACGTACAGTGTGCCAACATGCGTCAGCACGCGTCGTGAAGCAGGCCTCCAGTTACATGCATGCTGTCAGAAATGTAAGAAGGTCAAGTCACTAGAGATACAGAGCCACAAGCAGTATAATTGGGGCGGGCGTCAAGAGTACAAAGGCCAAGGTAAATGATAACGAGGCCGGGAATATATGTAGGCAGGGGCGGAACAAACACGGGAGTAAGCGGATAGGTAAGAGTCCGAACGGAATGATGCGACGACGGCGCGTGATGGTCACCGCCTTTCAACGAGAAAGCTCTACACACTCTGACTGCGCGCTCTTATATAAAGTTGTCTGCTGGAATCTGTCGTGCGAGGCATCAACACGTGTCGAAAGGGAAGGAAAGGAAGGAATTCCTGGGATGGAGTAGATCTAGAAAATGCAAATCAGATAAGTCAGACGGTGCTGCGTACTTCGCACCCCAGGAAAGGCGCTGTGAACTTGAGACGTCAGCAATCACCCTTGGAAACACGTCGCGTCGGCAGAAAAGCAGACTGTCATATCACAACGCAAACACGCACTGCAGGCGAATATCCAGTCTGTCGGACACCAGTTCATAACCAAGCATGCCGGGAAGGATATTGCGCATTTATGTGTGGCTCTTTATGCTGTGAAATGCCCACGCCAGTCCAATCCTGGGCCGACGCTTGTCAATGAACAGCCGGGAGGGAATGAGAATAAACCCACACGCTAGGATAGAGGGACGCTGCATCTTCAATTTTCTGCGAGTGAAAGGAAATAATACAAGGAATAGATCGTCGTATTCTTACTTCGAATTTTTGTCCGCTGGTAACAGGCAAGATCGCGTCCTCCGTGGGAGAATATCCGTTGTAGCTGGAACATAGTTGACGAAAGGCTATTACAGCTAAGCTCAAAACGATAGACACAAATCGATTTGCGAGCTCAATTCGGGCCGAGCACCAAACAAATCCTGATGAGAGCCACCAGCTAATTTTGTCCTTGGTCTCCGAGACGATCGTCCTCCACAAAATAAACTTTTCATGACGATTCTCCTCCCGACGTCAGTGGGGCTTCAACAGAATAAAATGGCTGCCCGGTCGCTGATGCATGTCTTCTTTGCTTTAGGATCCCAGAAGATTCCCGACACGCCGACGCCCACGATAACTCCTTCCCTCTATACTCCTGTAGACGATCCGGATCAAGGGGGAGAAAATAGCGAAGAGATACCTTCCGTACCTGATCCTCCTCATACACCTCGTCCCGAGTCTCCGTCTCCGTTCGACAGTGGATCGCCGCTGTCCATGCCTCCGCGCACCCCTGCATCGCAGCCTATACCCCATCGCGTCCATCAGCGCCGCACAGAAGCACAACGGCTCAAAGATGACATACCTGCATTCCTACGCATAAATGAAAATCCTCGAGATTTGGACTCTTACAACCTCGATAGGCATGACACCGAGGGTGAGAGAGAACCTGAGTATGCCGAATATGTTGCAGAAGCAGCTCTGAGTGCAGGACTTGAGTATGTCTACACCGCTGAAGAGGTACTCACAATCTCCGAAGCTTTCGAGTTCGTCCACGCAGCCTCAGCGCACGACACAGAGCCCAAGTCCTATACGGAAGCAATGCGTCGGCCAGACCACGAGAAGTACCATGAAGCCGCATGCGAGGAGATCCAGGCACTTCTCGACAACGGCACCTTCGAGCTCGTTCACCTTCCCCCCGGTCGAAAGGTCATTGGCAGCCGTTGGGTCTTCAAGGTCAAGCGAAATGCAGACGGCTCTATTGAACGCTACAAAGGTCGAGTAGTCGCCATGGGTAATCACCAACGACCAGGCCTCGACTTCGATGATACATTCGCGCCGACTCCGAAGTGGGCAGCATTGCGTACAATTCTAGCCATCAGTGCACTAGAGGACCTCGAGCTGGAAAGCATAGACATATCGTCAGCATTCCTCAACGGCGAAATCGATGCGGAGGTGTACATGCGGCAGCCTGAAGGTTTCGTTGACAAAGACTCCAGCTGGGTGTGGAAGCTCCTCAAATCTATCTACGGCCTGAAACAGGCGTCACGCATATGGCACAAGAAGCTAGATGACACCCTCCGTGGCCTGGGATTTGAGCGCGTGAAATGCGAGCATAGCGTGTGGGTGTGGAAGAGAGATGAGGACCACATTATCGTACCGGTCTTCGTCGATGACATAACCATCGCATCTAAAAATATAGTGGCGATTCAGAAGCTCAAGAACGACCTGAAAACGGCGTTCAAACTTCGAGATTTGGGCCCTACCACTTTCCTCCTGGGAGTCGAGGTCATCAGGGACCGCCCCAACCGAACTATTTCCCTCTCTCAACGTCAATACACTCTGGACATACTCGAGCGCTTTGGAATGGCCGACTCAAACCCCGTTTCGACGCCCATGGATAACAGCATACGCCTATCTGTGTCTATGGGTCCCCTCACTGCGGAGGATGTTTCCTATATGAAAGATAAGCCATATGCAAACGCCACCGGCTGCACTGTCATACCTGGCAAATGTTACGCGCCCGGACATTGCTCATGCGGTGGGAGTGCTCTGCCGCTTCAATTCAAATCCCGGACCACAGCACTGGAAAGCTGTGAAGCACCTCATGCGCTATCTGAAGGGCACCCTGGACCTTAAAACTGACCTACGCGCCTTTGAAATCCCCCACCGATGATTTGTTCACCACATACTCTGACGCAGATCATGGCGGTAACCCCGATAATGGACGTTCGACATCTGGCATGATCGTAAAAATTGGAACCGGGGCGGTTAGTTGGCACAGCCGTTTGCAATCCATTGTTACACTGTCCACAACTGAGGCAGAATATGTCGCGGCGTGCACAGCAGGGATGGAAATTATGTATCTCCGCAACCTTTTCACAGAATTCGGCTATGGCGTCAGCCACGCATCCCCTCTTTTCGTAGACAACCAGTCAGCAATTTCTGTCGCGAAGAATCCCGAACATCACGGACGCATGAAACATTTGGACCTACGCTTCTACTGGCTTCGCGAGGCAGTGGAGCTGGGCATTATTAAAGTCGTCCACCTACCTGGAGTGGAAATGCCG